GTTGCCCTTTCCCGTGTCAGTCTATGTTTTGCTTTGATGGAAGCATGAGCAAATGAAAGCCTTGTTATTGATTTCTGTGCAGATGTTAATAATTTCCATGTAACTCTGCCTTAGGTTGGCAGTTACTGATGTACAGAATTTGACATCTTAATTATTCCTTGATGGGAAGGAAGGACACTAACAGCAGCCTTTCTCTATGGATCTGGGGGTTCAAATGTGGTGTAGGTTAGAAATGAAATGAGTGAGGTGGTTTTCTTATAGTCCATATGGATATTTGTTCGCATCTCAAATCTGCTGTGCAGTCTTGAATGTGTAAAGAAGCAGAAAGACCAAGTGATACTGTTCTACTGGTGTTTCTGACCCAGCTGAACCAAGGAGTAGAAATCTCAGTTATGAGCTTCTCAAGCTTATTTCTGGAATACAGATGTTTGGATACCCACCCAAATACCTATGTGCTTAAGCAGTCCAAAAAAGAAACATGTCCATCATTACAGTTAACTAAGCATGGGTTTAAGACACAAAAGGTGGAACTACATGGAGAATTCCCAAACTTTGGCATAAATGTATGTATTCATGCCTCTGTATCTCATCAGTGAAGTTGAACCCAGCGCTTCCAATATCAAGGGCCTGATTTAAAGCCCCCTGAAGTGAATAGAAAGATTAAAAGTATAAACTCTTACTATTGGAGCTAATGAAACAACTCCTTTAGTAGTGAGTAAATACTAGTCTGTTATATTCTGCTTTCAGCCATGAGAAATATTCATCATTCTGTCTAGTATGCTACTGTATCATCTTCAGTTTGGAACACTTCTAGATATAGCTTAATACTTTTTCTTCCTTTAATGCTTTTAGGAATGTGCATCTTCTTTAGATGGTCAGCAGAAAATCTCTGTGTAGTGTTGTGGTGCTTTAGGTCAGACTGCAGTGCTCCTGCACTGCCACTGACTGTTTCTCAAATCATCCTGTAGCTTAATGAAAAGCAATTAGCACTGCTCTTTAACCAGGTGAAGGCATGTGTATTGAATACATAAATTTACAAACATTTTTACAAATTGAATTGATGGAATAAAAGCTCTAAATGTTGTTTTTTTAAACATCTAACACCGGGGTATCAAATATATGGCCCGCATTCTGTATCTGGCCTGTGGAGCCCTGCTATCTGGCCTCCAGCACTACCTCTGGGTCTGATCAGACCCACACAGGGCACAGTGCACAGGGATGGAAAAGTTTGATATGCCTAATCTGGCATCTGCACAGGTGATAGGTATTTAGTAGGAATCCTGCTGTCCCTGGCACAATTCAAGATTGAAAAGCTCAGACAGGTGGCCACATTCAGGTAGTATCTCAAAGAATCTTCTCACCAGCCATGCCTAACACCCTCCTCCACCTCCAAGCTTAGATCTGTGCATGATGATGTGACCATCACAAAATGGGAGTGGTTACGTTTGCCTGCAAGGCAACAAAGAATTCTTTCCCATTGCTCCAGCCTGCTGAGACTGGCTCTGCTTGCTAGCAGCCCCCTGAGAGTGTACCCACCATTGTTGACATCCTAGCAGCTCTTGGGTAAATCAACACAAGACACTTTACTCAAGATTGGAGCTATTACTGTGCAGTAAGCATCACCGTCTACACATGCAGATGCTTACTGTGCAGTAATTTGCTCTAATCATAAGTAAATTTGCCATCTGTAAATACAAGTAGCTAATTTACTCCCAATTACTTGCTGTGCAGTAGTGTACATGTAGCTGGTTGACCGGGAGCAAATGTGCTCCCCGGCAGCATGTGGCAACAGATTGTTCCCTGCCCCCAGGAGCTGCCTGCTGCTGGGGCAGGCTCTGCTACCGGAGCCTGGGTGGAGACAATGTCAGCCTGCCCCAGCAGCAGGGAGCTCCCATCCTCCACTTCAAAATTGCAATTGGGAAAAGGGGGTGGGAGATTCTTATCTCGCAGCACCAGCTCCATGGTTGCAGGGCCCTAGCTGGGATAGTCTTATCTCCCAGGGCCAGCTCCACAGTTGGGGGTCTGGCACTGGGAGATTCTTCTTTCCCAGTGCCAGCCCAATAACCATGGAGCTGGCACTGGGAGAGAAGAATCTCCCCTCCCTGGCCCTGCAATCATGATCATGGAGTTGGAGCTGGGAGCTTCCTGCTGCCAGGTCAGGGGGACATTGCCCATGCCCAGGCGCCAGTGGTGGAGCCTGCCCCAGCAGCAGGCAGCTCCCTGGAGCAGGGAGCAATGTCCCAGCTCCCACCAAGAGACAGTTGGCTCCTAGCCCCAGGCTGCCTGCCATCCCCTGGGCTAGCACCCCGGAGGAGCATAGAGCTTCGCCTGGCTGATGCAGGGGTGGGAGCAGATTTTTGCCGTGAACAGCAAATCTGATTCTGAGTCCTTTACATGTAAATGTGTGCCCTGCATCATTTGCACATTCCCCTTGTGTGGGAACTCTCTACTCCTATTCCCTAGTGGCTTCTCAAGGCATGGATGAAGGACACACCACCAGGTCCCCACATCCCCATCAGCTGCTCTAGCAGTGCATAGGGATGAAGAGACTGCAGGAGCTACTGCTGCACCAAAAAGGTCACCTGTAGCTGCCACATCCTACCTCTTCACCTGCCAGCACCTGTCTGCTCAACCTTGCTAGGAGTCTGATATTAATGGGGCACATCTACATGAGACGCTATGGCACAATAGCAATGCTACTGTGCCATAGCTCATTGCTAGGGCACTGTAGTGTCACCAGGCATGAACCATGACAGTATGCTACTGCACAGTAGCAACAAGCTACTATGCAAAAGCTCATTGCTACTGTGAAACAGCATCTAAAAACACCCATGCTGGGATGGCACTGTGCAGTAACATTGCTTATCACACATTCGTTTAGTATTTGGTTAAGCAGCCCCCAGGGGAGGCACACCCAGGCCAAGGGTCAGTGAGGATCTAGTCAGGGAACTTCTGGAGGGACTGGACGTATTTAAATCAGCAGGTCCTGATGATCTCCACCCCAGAGTGCTGAGGGAATTAGCTGAGGTCATTGTGGGACCCCTGACACAGCTTTACGAGCACTCGTGGTGCTCTGGTGTGGTGCCAGAGGACTGGAAGAGGGCCAACATGGTTCCCATCTTCAAAAAAGCGAGGAAGGATGACCCAGGAAACTATAGGCCAGTTAGCCTTACCTCAATCCTGGGTAAGCTTTTTGAGAGAATTATCCTGGCACATGTCCACAAGGGGCCAGCAGGGGAGATTATGCTTAGAGGCAACCAACACGGGTTC